GGGGCGCGGGGACCCGTCCCGGGTGTGCTCGGGGTGGGTGTTTTGGGGTCGTCGTGTGTTGGCGGGCGGTGCGTGCGGGTGTGGCGCGGGTGTTTGGCGGTGGTGAGTTAAGACTATACTTTCAGGGATCATTTCTGTAGTTGGTCACTAGAGGAGAGTGATCTTCCCTGATCGGCGTCACAAGCCACGAGGAGGAGCTGGGTGTTCTCTCCTGAGCGCGAAGCGGGCGGGCGGTGCTGCTTGTGCAGGAGCCGCTCGCCATTGATGACCGTTCTCGGGCCTCGTGGTGGGCCCGAGAGGGAGAGAACACGGGCTGAGTGGTTAGTGACCCTTTTTTTTTTTTGTGGTTCAAAAAAAGATTGATTTTGCGGAAGTGTCTGATTTTACCACGGTGCTATTGTGTCAGACTCATCACCCTGCTGAGTCAGACTTATCGCCTTCCACTGGGTTCTACCCTTGCTATTTCCTCGTTATTGTAGAATGGAATTCATTACTTGGAGCCAAGTCGCTTAAATAACACAACACTTGCCTAATTCCTGTTTGCTACTTAAGAATAATTTAGTTATTTGTTAATGCCCTCCTCTGGTGTTATCAGGTGCTCATCCACCTGTGCTTACAGAGATGGATATGTAAGTTATACATCTTATATGTAAGTGCTTATATGTACTTATAAGTACATATATGTACACAAAAGTGCATATTTATATACATACATATACACACATGTATGCATATGTACAAGTATATACATATATATACATATAATGTATTTATATGTACATGTATGTACATAAAATGTACTTACATGTAATATTTAATGTAATATATAAAGAATGTACTTATATGTACATAAAAACAATGTACATATAAAGAATGCAATATAGATAATATATATTATGTATGAAATATAATATATATAATATGACATATTTTTATACGTACATATAAAGAATGGAATACATAAAGAACGTACTTATATGTACATATATGTACATATGATATATGTAAATATAATGTATATATATGTACATATAACGTACTTATCATCATAGCATGTACTTATAATGTACTTATAAATACATATTTTTAAGTACATAAGCACTTACACAGTACATATAAGTTCATGTAAGTACCATCTTTTATTATTATTTTTATTTAAAATCATTGTGCACGAGTGGTGCCTGATACACATAGAAAGTCTCAAGGAAACTCATTTGCTCTTTTTTTCCACTTCTGTTACTATATTTTCATACCTGCAGTGCCTCAGGGGGAGGAATATCATCATCAGGATCAGTGGGTTTTTGTTCGGGGCGAGGAGGGAACGAGCACCACCTCAGAATCTTCTGTTTGCTCCGTAGGTGCTTTGGTTGATGCCGTGAATTCCAATGGCCAGACTTGTCTCTTCATTGCTGCCTTGCTGGGAATCACTAAAACCGTGCACGTGCTGTTGGCATACGGTGCAAACATCAATCAGTTAAGTATAAAACGCTTCTCTTTTTAAAACCAAAGCAAATATTTAACCTTTTAGTGGGTTTAGTCAACGTAATGCGCAATATTCACTGTACAAAAAATGAAAAAGGGATTAAGATGCACGTTGCTGTTTTAGCCAAAGCTCCTCGGAGGTGAGCGTGTAATTTTCCTTATTTTGTGAAGCATTTTGTTATTTGGGGGTACATAAACATTCCAGATGTGCTGCTTTTCCCCCCTCCACTGGTGAGTGGAGCAGGGATGGACCGAAACATGAAACATTCCTGCTTTGCTGTTCCTCAGTCGCTGTCTCGATGGGAGCACCCCAGTCCATGCAGCTGCTTTCTCAGGAAACGAGGAGATCCTCAGCTGGCTGCTGGATGCAGGAGGTGACCTGAGAGCCCATGATAAGGATGGGAGAACTCCTCGACAGTGGGCTTTGTCAGCCGGGAAGAAACGCAGTGCCGAGGTATGTGAACACCTGAATAGGTGCTCACATCCTCATCTCAACCTGGAGAAACTCCGACATTCCAGGGAGAAACCCTTGGCTTGAATAAAGTTGCATGTTAGGAAATTATCAACACGTTAGATAATTATTCAGCCTTATTTTTCAACATCAAAAATGGTATTTTGAGGTCCTCACGACTCGGATTGTTTAACTGAGGTGTTGCTCACTGTGGGGGTGTGTCTGTGGAACTTGTTAGGACCCGAATTTGTAAGTGAGCAGGGAGAGAACAACAGGCCTTTGTGTTCCTTGTTTTCCACCCCTGATGTGCAGTTTTTTTGTGTGGGTGTGCCACTCAGGAGTGACCCCAAAGTAGTTTTCAGGTGTATCCCAGTCTGTGCATGAACAGTGCCAACAAGTGGATCATTTTTGCAATGATATGTGACATCAAAAAGGCTTATTTGTGACTGCAGTATTGATTTAAAGCTCATGATACTCCTCTTTCCTGTTATTACAATGCTCCTCTTAAAAAGAAATCTGATATTACAGTTTTCTGCAGGTGAAGTCTTGCAAGTTTGTCACCTAATATTTGAAATAAGCTTTTCTTCCATTTTCATGTAATTGATTTTCTTCAATTTTTTCATGTATGCATCTCTCAAAATACCCACTTAAATATTGTGAGTAACCAGTTACTTTTTCAGTAGTCATGATTTATTAATTTTAAGTGGTTTGTCTCGTTCTGAAGTAACTTCTTTTGTTGGTTTTTTCCCTCCCCTTCCTCTCCAGATGTTGGAAGTAATCCAGTGGTATACACTGCACATGCAGGCTGCCGTTCAGAATTTCCGCTCTGATCTGCTCAGGAAAGTTGGCTCATCAAAGGCTCTGGTCTCCAGCCCCTCGAGGTTTGGTGGCCTTGTCCAGGGGTAAGAAGATATTCTGCTTCCACCTTCTATTGTCTTAAAATTAACAATTGCATCTTTTTGACAACATCCACTGTGTGTCAGGAATGATGGTACTTTTTATTTCTGTTGCAACAACTCCAAATGGCAACTTGATGGTTGTGAATATCTGCATATTAAGAGAAACTCTTGAAATCAGTATATAAAGCACTGGATTTTAGTAGCATTAAAGTGGTGATAACATGAAGTAGTTTGTTTCTTGGCTTTTTAAGGTCACTGCAGATCTTTTTTGGGGTGTTTCCAACTGTTTCAAGAGCTTTTGTGCCGGCTACATGTTGGGAAAAATACATACTTGTGAACAAAAAGCAATGCAAGATGCCTGTGTGTGGGTATATATATATATATATTTATTGGCTATCTTGCTTAAAAAACAAATACATATCATAACACAAGTGTATTTAAAAAGGTTTAATGAGTTGCACAATAATTTGGAATTTTAACATCCACGTTACACGTGTGGGACCAGTCTAATGCAACATTTGAATTATGTGGCTGTTGCAGAAATTCTGCCTTTTTTTTTTTCTCTCTAAATTTGTATTTTGCTCCAAGCCTTGGCATATTAGTTACTCTTCTTGCTTGTGTTTTTGCTGTTCAGAAGTGTTGGCAGTGCTTTGGGTAAATTACTGAAAGGAGAGGCCAAGGTAGCCAAGAACATTTACAGCTTCGGTTTTGGGAAGGTAAGATCCTGTGGGTAATGGTTTTCTAAAGATGTTAGAACAGCTTTTCAGACTCACAGTAATTATCCCACCTGTTGCTATTTTTAACTTTTAGTGCATTCTTATTTCTACTGAAGTGGTTGGAAAAAAACCCTGTGAAAAGCAGGAAACTCAGGCCTTTAGTGGTTAATGAGCCCTGTCAGAGGAGGCAGTTTTGGAACAGGCAGTAGAGACTCCTGTTAAATGTCACCTGTGGGAGTTCCCAGTGACTGGTTCTGCTTTTCCCTGTTTCAGCTTCACTAGGAAGTGAAGTTTTTGACACTGAAACCTCAACATTTCGTGCTGGTGCTTGGGCTGAGGCTCCTGGTGCAGTGATCGCACCGATGTCGTTAATGAGCTCGGGGCAGATGTGAAGGGTTTTGGGAACTGTTGCACATCCCTTTTGGTTATGCCCTGTTCCAGTTCTGTCTTGCAGGCAATGAGCAGCCTGGCTACTTGGCATCTATCCCAATTATTGGGGAAAAAGACGTGGTTCAGGCAGATGATGAACCAGCATTTTCTTATCACGTCGGGCCGTTCATGATCATGACCAAGTAAGTGAGATTGGAGGGATTTTAGCCCCTCTCTTACTATTGCACAGCAGGTTGTCGTGCCAGTGCTTTGTTTGGATAGTTTTCCATGTCCATTCTGTATTTATTCACTGTTTCCTTGCTTGCAACTTGTTTTCTGCATTCACTGATTAAAATCAGACTCCTTTGGTATCTGAAAGGACAAGAGCAACCTACAGGCAATTTAACCCATTTATGGCTAATCACTGATTGCAGAGTTTCAGTATTGATTCCTTTGTGGTGGGAAATATGTTTGGAGTTGCACAGATTGTGTTGTTCAGCATTTAGCCCTTGTAAATTAATATTTACAAGGCCAGGCCTCCTGATATCCATATTGGCAGCTCAGTTGCTCAAACCTGTGATAAAACAAGAGTTGCAAGGGCAGACTGAGCCTTTTTAAAAAAATCTTTGGCATTGTGTGTTAATTACTGTGTATTATATGTATATATGTATATTATATATATGTATATGTGTAAAATATATATATACATGTA